GCAAACAAAGCACCATTGCTTCTTTGTGTCTTTGCCACAGTGATTTCTGCAAAAGGAGTAAGGGTTCACCCCATCAGATATTGTCCTTTGGAGTCCTTCCCCATCCTTCTCTCATTCATTTTTTCAGCCGGCCAAGGCGTGGCATGTCAAATGCACCCCAATCTGCGAAGAGGAAACTCGAAGGTGAGTAATCACTCACTGACATAAGTAGGGTACAATAGGGTATGGTTTGTTGTTTCTGTTGTGCGATGTTTTGATTAGAACATTCAACCCGTCCATTGCGTTGCAGATTTCGCGGCTTCTTTTTGTGCGAAAGGAATTCATGAAAGTGCATGGTTGTTGTTGCGTTTGGCGACGGCTTTGCCATACTTTGCCTAAGGTTGCTGTCATTGCCAGACTCCATGAAAACATTTGACTCGCAGGCTCGTGGCAGCACTGGCACCAGATTCTCTTCGAGTATGGCCACATCTTTGGCGCTGAAAATGCTGAAAGGCACGGGTAATGTCCAGGTCCCTTCGCTGAGAGTGAAACGAAAGGCCAGTTGTATTGCCGGTAAACCTACTAGCGATGGCGTCCAACATACTAGCGATGGCCTCCAACTTAGCATCGATGGCCTTCAACTTAATATATATATATATATGCGAAGCAACAAGGCGCAGCGACCCGCAAGGCTATTTTCAAAGCTAGGGTGGGGCGCTTGACCCCGTGAGTGTCGGCGACCGGACATGAACGTGGACCACATGATTGGAAAATCTGCATGGGTCCAGACTCTTAAATATTTTTAGATGCCATTCTCAATTCAGTCGAGAGGTCCCTTTCCTTGTTGCTTTCTCTTCTTACCGGAAATGATCCCTTCATCGTAAACAATTCTCCATCGACCATTCCGTTCAGAAAACATCAAAAGTTGGTGTGGTTCATCATGTTTCGTCAAGCTGTTAGCAAGTTGACTTTCTCCGTTGACCCACCTCAACTGCACCCCATCTTCAACAATTGCCTCCTTGAGGCAGAGGGCTTCAATGTCACTTCTCTTTTCAGCTCCACTGAGGGTGAGGACCGTGGAATTAAGTCGATCATACACGTTTTTGCTATCACTAATGAGAGCTCCTTCAACATGACCAACCGTTTCACAGGGATTCCATATGTTGGCATGATGTCCTAGGAATTCAGCCATTTGGAATCGCAGAGCAAACAACTGGTCTTCTCCGTCAACTGCAGCTCTTGTTTCTGCTGAGGCGCTCGAGCGACAGACACGGGATATCTTCGAGGAACACCAGTAAATTGGGTTGACCTCTACTAAATCCCCATCTAATACTCTCTTTGGAGTGCATCCAATGATGATGCCTTTGGTGCTACTGAGGTCTTGACGATTGCCGTGTGCAGCGTCTACCCATGCTGTGAGCATCAAATCCTCCTTCTGGAGTGCGTGGATGATCATCTTCTGACCTTGTCGTAGTTTTGCTTTTCTCAAGAGTTTGTTGGCTTCGAGGAGGTCTGTGACTTTTGCCTGAGGCACCCTTGACAGGAGCAATCCTGTGGGTGCACTAAGTTCCATGGCTAACTGACCTGCATGCCATGCCAAACAACCCAACACGCTGCGAAGTTGTTTCTTTTCATCTTCTGTTGCGAGTTGTTCGGGTTCTCTAAGTCGTTGCTTGTTGATGAAGACCTCAGAAACTTGGTCCAAAAACTCTGGCTGTGACAGGCTAAAGGAAAAGTCTTCTCTTTGCTCGATGGTGACTCCACATTGTATGAACTTCTTCTGTTCCCATTCTCCAAACTTGAAGCGCTCTTTGATTGCAGTCTTCGCATGAAGCCACCTGCTGTCAGTTGCGAGCCCTCCAAACATGAAGTCATCAACGTGAGAACAGATCCATCCTATGGGTCTGTTGTCATCATCATATAGTCCCCAGCAGCAAGGGTCGGATTTCTGCCTAATGAATCCTTGGCTCATGAGGAACTCGTCCACTGTCAAGTAGAATTCCAAAGGCGCTTGTACCAATCCATATGCTGCTTTTACCAGTCTTGTTGTGGATCCTTCTGCTATCCCCATAGCTTCGGTGATCTCCTTGAGCGGTTCAACAAAGATCTCATCTTTCACTTCTCGGCCTTGTAAAAAGGCACCTGAAATGTCTCCTTTTTCCACTGTAAAATGGTAGGCGGCACATAGAGTCAGGAACATTTGTCTTGTTCCTTTACTCATAGTCGGGCTGCTTGTTGGCCTCCATTCATACAATGGATCTTGGTATCCCAGAATGACGGCTCTGGCTTTTGCTTTCCTCTGCTCGGGATGATCTTTGTCCACTTTCCAGGTGAGGATCCAGCGCATTTTCAGGATTTGACTTTGGTCAGGTTTCAGGTGATCCGGAATCTTGCGAAAGACCTCGGCCATGATGTAGTTCCTGACCTCTTTATCCTTGGCGCTCTTGAATTGCTCCAGTTCTTCCGGAGTCAGTCTTCGTTCGGAGACCTCAATGTGGTTCTTTCTTGTTTGACTCACCAGGTATGCTGGTAGGTCTCTTAGCCATTGTCCCTTCTGGTGCTTTTTGTTTTGAGGAAGGTCGATGGTAATCTGGATACAACCCAACTCACTGTCCAGCACTGTTGTTGGTGTGTCCGCTGCCAATGCCACCAGTGGGTGTTCTGCTAGAGCATGGTCCAACTTGATTTGTTTTGTTCTGTCTTGTTCAAGTTGTTCTCCTTGTCGTCGACTTCTCTCTTGTCCATCTCGTCGATGTAGTTTCAATGGTCTGAACACGTTTGCTGGTTCTTTCTGTAAGTGTCGTCGACGGCTTGGGGTCGGTGATTCGGGATGGATGACTGGGTCGTCTTCTAGGTCTTCTGGTTCTGGTGGTGTTTCTCTGGTCAGATCTTCATAGGTTTTGGTTTGTCCTTGTTCAAGCATCCCTGAAATGGTCCAGGGTATTGGATGATCTTCTTGAAGCTCTGCCCATGCTTCCTCTCGTTCACTGGCGTGGCGAAGCAAATTTGGGGTGGCCTTCAACAACTTTGAGCCTCGAAAAAGCCATACGTGTTGCGTCGGCCTTCGTTGACCATCACTCTCAACTTTGGTTTCGGTGGCAAGCACTCTGGCTGGTCCAATGAAACCTCCCTTTTTGAAGTTCTGACCTTTCGTTTCACCCCCGTGGTTTCCCATCTGTTTACGCCAATAGAAAACCAAGTCTCCGGGTTTGAACATCATCGACTTGCGAGCCCCGGAGGCCTTAGCCCTCATGAGTCTTTGGCGGTATTGTTCTTCCAGAAAGGCTTCTTCAGCAATCTGCATGGCCCTCACGTCATTCCCGAATTCGGCGGAAAGACCCTTCTCCGTTATCACCGGGACATCCCCACAACCCTGATTGTGCAGCTGGCCTTGATCATTGGGATTTCTTCCAAGCACATGTTGAAGGGGAGAGTAGCCCAAATATTGATCTCTGGAGTTTTGAGCCCAGAGAGCCCTCTGAAAAAGTTCTTCTTCACTCATTTCCGGAAACTCCGAACTAATTTTGGTCATCATCTCCTTAGTCGTCCTAATTGCCCTTTCCACCACGGGCAGTTCCCAATGGGCTTCCGCAGGGATGTGATCACTCATAATTTTGTGTTTCAACATGTATTGATCCACCTGCTCACTACGAAAGGCTCCGGCAGGATCCATACGAATGGTAGCAGGGTTTCCAAACAAGGGTTTCCATTGTTCTTCAAAGAACTGAATGAAGTCAGAACCCGAAAGGCTAATCTTCTTTCCTTCTTTCAGGGACATCCCCTTTCTGAACCTACACCCTTCATCAATTCCCAGAATGAAATGGAACGGCCTTTTGGTTTCCGGATGGACCCACGTGGCTCCATCCACTTGGACCTTAGCCCATTTGGGTGGAATTTCCTCCAAACTCGATTGGTTTCGGGGACCAGGAATCCTATTCTCCTCACAACTGGGGCACCGAAACTGTCTAGCCAACTCCAACACCTCCTTCCCAGCGTTTCGACGACGGAGCGCACGAATCAAGTATTCTTGACTGCAGTGACCGGTGGCAGAGTGGATTCGTCGCAAGGCCTGAAAGGTTTAGTTCGTTGTTCCTGACTCATGACCCAACACTCAAAATCATGGTTTCTCGTTTTCTCCTCATTTCCGTTTTCATGGACCAAAATTCCATGATTCATGTCACCATGTATGTTGGTTCCATCCTGAAGTTCTCGCACCACTTTTCCACATAAGTTGTCGGTTTTGATGCTTTGCACAACCCTTTTGCAAAACTCAGAAGTGTAAAAGGCCGTACTTCTACATCGGTTGTGGCCTTCACATTGTCCATGAACATGGTTACCCGTACACCTAAGACTCATGTGGTTTATGAGGCCTCGACATGAACCCATCAACCTCCAACCTTTTCCGAGAAGTTCTCCTTTTTCATTTCTAAGTCCAACCTGGCATCCCTTACACACCCCTGAAAAACATCGCACTTTGTTTTGCAGTCTGGCGAACATTGGGAGTTGCCATCCTTGACATCTCTCCGAAAGCTCAATCACAAAAGGAATACCTTCTTGGTGGCAGAACTCACCGATGCGACATGTGGCTTCATACTGTCGTTTCGCTCGGTCGCGTTTCTCCTGCAGCTGCTTCTTTTGCTGCTCGGTTCGCTGGTTGAGGTTTTGCATTGGGGAGTAGGGACCACATTCTGGGCTTATCCAAACAAGGCCAGGACGCTTCTCTCTGATCACACTACAAACAAACTCTTCACCCGCCGTAGTTTCCAGGTCCCCCCCATTTAAATGAGAGAGGCGTTGTGCGCTTCCAGGACCAAAAGTCTTTTCACAGGCATGTGAGAGCTCGCTTTCAGGATCACAACACACCTCCAGGAGTCTAAGCCGACCCCCAAAAGCAACCAAGTTCCAATCTTCCTCAAACCCACGACAAAATCCAAAAAGAATGTCCTTCTTAGCGTGCTCACTCAGATATTCAATCCCTCTGCCCGTGCCAGACTTTTCGTTGGCTCCAGGCTCAGAGTTCTTCACGTCTGGGTTCGAGATGATTCCCCCGTCTTCTGGGTCTTGGCTTCCTCTTTCTTGGATGTGCTCTTGCGGACCATGGCCTTCTGACGCTCCAGCTCGCGGATCTGGACATCCAGGTCGCTGAGGAGTTCCTCTGCGTCTGCTGCTGTCACTGAGGTGTCCATGGGAATGTGAATGAAGGATCCCTCGGTGCCGCTGGATGGTGCTGAGGCGGCTTCTGGCTTGTTGTAGCCGGGTGCTTCTGGTGAGGTCATGTTCTTCTTCTGGTTGAAGCTCTCCAGGATCTTCCCCTGGGATAGCACTGTCCTCTTCTGGGTGAAGCTCTCGAGGGCATTCCCTTGAGTGGCTTGACGTTGTGTCACCCACTTGAGGAATCTCTTCATCTGCCAGCATGTCTCCTCTTCTTGACTGGTTTGGTGGCACCAGTCCACATATGACGGGTCGGACACGAGGACCTCCTGGTATGTCTTGTTGGCATGTTTTCCATACCCCATCTTGTCGGATCCCAGTGGTGGTGTCATCTCCATGATCTTTTGGTGACCCATGGTCTGTAAGCGAGCCACCGTTTCGTTGCCGGTGATCTTGAGTTCCAGGCGCTCTTGAATGTACTTCTGCAATTCGATCTTTTTCTTGGAAGCACGATTCATTTCCACCAAGAGTTGGTTCTGGATCTTCTGGCCAGGTGAGGTCTCGTCTTTCAGCTCCTGAAACCGCGTCTCGAGCTGAGTCCGAGTCCACTCGGCTGGAGGTTCCTCGCCCATCTCTTTGATGCGCTGTCTCAAGACCTCCTTGGTCATGGATGGCATGGCTACGGACAGGTGGACGGAAGTAGTCAGAAATCCTAGCTTGAGTACTCTGTTTGCCTGAGGTCATGAAACAACTCTCAACCGGATGGCCCCCTTGGTTCTTCCCTTGGTGGCTCTGCGGTGGTGGTGCAACCAGCGTTGGTTTTTCGTTTTCCTTCTCATGTTCAGGTTTCGGTCCGGAAGGTCGAGGGGAATGGTTTCCTATGGGATCGTCATACTTAGCATTACCCCGGTTGTAATCCAACATACTGTCAACCTGACCCTTGGACAATTGGGAATGGCATCGCTCTGTGCTAGTGTCGTGTACCCCCCAAGGCTCGCAGTGCGTTCCATTATGCCTCGGAGGGTCATGTCCCTATTCATGGTCGTCGATCAAGCCACCAAAAGGCTTTTCCCTTTGGCGGCTCTGACTGTACACATCAGCGGTGAGCGGAAAAACTTGATGGCCAGTGGATGTCGTCTCCAGCTTCAGCACCTTGTGTGGATCGACCCTTTTCAGCAACATGGTGTTTTGATCGTAATCAATCACTGCTCCCAGTGCCCGGAGCGAGGCAATGCTCAACAGGACTGGTTGATTGGGGATGTCATGCACGTGTACACGCATCGTGCTCATACCTCCATGCAGAGGAACTGGCAGTTGGGCTGTAGAGAGGCACGTTGTTCTTCCATTGTTCCCGAACCGGAAACTGGGTCTTTCTTTGGGGTCGATCTGTATCTCTCTTTGGAGCCCTTGTCCTCTGTTAATGCTGTCAATCCTGGTCATTGCATCCACACTCCCCACAGTGCTTGTTGCGCCGGGATCAATGATGGCCTTCCCAGCTTCCAATAACGAGTTCATTGTCATTGCAGCTAGGGCTTCAAAATCCGCTGATGATTGCTCCGCAGCATCTGGCTCAATCTGGTCACCTGAAGAGGAGGCCGTGAACGTGAAGTGGACTGCTTGGCCAGTAGTGTTTTCGTTCTTTTTGGGACAGGTCTCAGTCTTGTGAGCACCTCCACAGCGGAAACACTTCCGCTCACTTTCTGACCTTTCTGTTCTCCACTTCGTGTAGGTCTCCTTCTTCATGGGGTAGAACTGTCGGCTTTTCCTCATCATTGATTGCTTCTCGCGGGCATCACGAAGGGTGCGTCTTGCCCCTTGGATGGCTGCTAGTGCTTCTTCTGTCTCATGGGTGAGGTAGTTGTACTCTTCAACTTCTGCCTCAGTCATCCATGTCGGTGCTGGCGGTGTCTCTTCTTCATGTAGAAAGGCATCGTCTTCTTCTTCTCCTAGCATCAATGCTGACCCTCGGACTTGGTCTCTTTTCCGGAGGTCTTCATCGGTCCAGTTCAGCTTCAATGCTTCCTTGACCCTTTCAGTCGTGAACTCATTCTTGAGGCTGGCAATGATGGTGGCCTTTTCTGAGCCATCCAGGCCTGACCTTTGAAGGAGCATCCAAGCCACGACGAAGTCCGGGAGGAATTTCCCTGCCTCCTCTGAGGCCCGGTCTGAGGTTTCAGCTTGGTAGACCATCTCCTTTGTCACACGAGGTTCGGTTTCCCATTTCTCCCATGAACCCCAGGTCCACTCATCATCATTGTTCCAATCGTGCCAGCCTGCATAGTCTCTCCATGGGTCTGGCTCATCCGGGTTCTGAGCGTGTAGATCATCTTCATCCCGCATCAATCCATTCGAATCGAATGGCCCCTGTTCCTGATGCTGGTCGGCATGTTGTGAGCCATGCTGACTGGATGTACTCTTGGATGGCCTTGGTTTGCTTGTGGAGGTCTTAATCAGTGAGGTCCTCCGACTGGAATATCCCTGTCCATATTCCTCGATGGCCTCGGCCAATGTCCTCCTTGCTTCAAAGAGAGACTCGTCATGGCGGACGATCCATGCATTCATGCATTCTCCTTTTCTTCTTTTCACCTGGTAGAAGAATCTCGAGATGGACTTTCCAGCTTCAGCCAACGTGGGAGGCTGTACCTTGGTTTTCAAGAAGGTGAGCAGTTCTTCAGCGCCCCGACTATGTGAAATCCACCCTGGTGACTTGTGTTGAACTGCGGTTCGTGCAGCCCCTTCTAACACTGATTGAAGTCTGGGTCCAGCGAGAGGTCTTTTCTTCCATTCCAGTGTCTCCACGTAGTTGAGAGCAGCTCTTTTGTAAGCAACAAAAAGTTCTGCTGTTCCATCGTAGATGGGAACCCCATCTTTGCTATAGCGAAGTTCGGTCATCACCACCCAGCACAAAGGATCTCCTCCTCAATGTCCTGGATCTATATCGGCCCGGCCCAATTCACGGAGGGGCCGGGCTCCGCTACCATGCGAAGCAACAAGGCGCAGCGACCCGCAAGGCTATTTTCAAAGCTAGGGTGGGGCGCTTGACCCCGTGAGTGTCGGCGACCGGACATGAACGTGGACCACATGATTGGAAAATCTGCATATATATATATAATATATTAATATGTTATATATATATATTATGAAAGGCCCATTCATCCAGCATCCAAACCCTGTGAGATCCTGTGAGCGGACCGTGCGTTGTCGAGACGTGGACTGTCCACCTTGGCAAGGCTCCGAGACAGGATCCGTGGGCGACGCCGTGAACTTCTAGAAGAGCGAAAGCGGCAAAGAGGTGAGGGTTGGAGAATTTGCAGCAAGATTACAATAGTGAAACATGATGAAACAGGTTCAGGTGGTTCATTGTGGGAGATGCAGGAGCTTTTGTTCATGAAATCATTTGGGCATAGGTATCAAAAAAATACTTATCGAATCAATAAAACAATATTAACCGAATCAAAAAAAATATTTACTGAATCAATAAAAAATATTCGTTGTGCGATGAAATCCCTTGGAATTCCCAGTCGTGTAGGTGGCCGGTCCGCTGGTCCCCTGGTCCTCTGGTCAGCTGGTCCTTTGGTCCGCTGGTCCTAGTCCGCTGGTCCCCTGCAGTCCGCTGGTCCACTGGTCCGCTAGTCCCTTGGTCCTCTGGTCCTTCGTCTTTCTTTCTTTCTTTCTTTCCTTCCTTCTTTCTTTCTTTCTTTCTTTCTTTCTTTCTTTCTTTCTTTTTCGCAGCTGTTCTCCTTTCTCTTTTTTGCCTTTGCTTTTCCTTTTGTTCGCTTGGCAGAGACGAAACCAAACAAGGAAGCAAGCAAGCAAGGAAGCAAGCAAGCAAGCAAGCACGAGCTGCTCACTTTTGGATCTAGTGTGCTGCCGGGGGGCGCGCTGCGCCCCCCCCAACCCCCCCCCCCCCCCCGAAATCTGCACTTCATCCCCGACGCCCGCGCCTGCCACGAAATCAATATTTTAAGGTGAGCTCCCCGGTGCAAAATTTTCTAACCAAGCAAATATGCCTCCTATCTCTCTCTCTCTATCTATCTGTGTATCTATCGATCCATTTATCTTTCTATCTGTCTATCTGCAGTTCAACATCCACAAAGCACTTCAAGGTCCACAAAGTCTTGCCCTGCCACCAAATCTGCACTCCAAGGCCCACAAAGTCCTGCACCTGCCACCAACTCTACACTTCCACATCAAAAAGTCCTGCGCCTGCCACGAAATCTGCACTCCAAGGCCCACAAAGTCCTGCACCGGCCACCAACTCTGCACTTCAAGGTCCACAAAGTCATGCGCCTGCCACGAAATCTGCACTCCAAGGCCACAAAGCACTGCACCTGCCACGAAATCTGCACTTCAAGGTCCACAAAGTCCTGCGCCTGCCACAAAATCTGCACTCCAAGGGCCACAAAGTACTACACCTGCCACGAAATCTGCACTTCAAGGTCCACAAAAAGTCCTGCGCCTGCCACTGGCCACCAACTCTGCACTTCAACATCCACAAAGTCCTGCACCTGCCACGAAACACTACGACTATCACTACGATACTGCTGCTATTATAGTACTGTTGCTACTCTTACTGCTACTGCTATTTGGAATATTTTTTTAGAGTCAGTATTTATTTTTTTAATTGAAGCGTGTAGATTGTTTTATTATTGATACGTTAAATATTTGTTTTTGATCTCTCACCCTTCATTGGTGGGGTTCACCATGAGGCCAAGAATTGAGATTACCTGAAGGCAAAGTCTGGTTCGAGGCTGGTCTTGAGCTGGCTTTGTAGATCCCATTTGAGCTAATTTGGGTGTTGCATTTGTTCGATGTTTCTGCTTGTTCCGCGCAGGCAACGGCCGAATGGCAGGAAGTTCCACAGAACGCAATTTGTGCGGCCATGGTCCGAGGTTGAAATTTTGGCATTGGATGTCGGAAGGCATTCGCCATCCTTTCTGGTTTTAGGCTGGATTGGAGTACCGCTTTGACATGCAGACTGGAAGGAGACAGCAGTGGCCATCAGTCTCGAATGATTCCAAAGCTTGCCTTGTATCATATTGTATCATTTCATACCTCTGGATTTGGCGGTGACGCCTGTTCCAGTTACCCAAAATAGGTGCTTGGCATGTGAAAGATAAGCGGCGTTGTGATGCTGTGATGCTGCAGGAACTTTGCGCGCTTGTCACTCTGACGTAGGTCCAGCCGTGCAGACTTGGGCCGAAAGTCAGGCATCACATTTTCCGCTCGCCTGAAGCAAAGTCCACTAGCACAAATCATTGCAAGTCGAAAGGGCCGCATCCTAGCCTCTAGCAGTTTCTTCTTTTCATTTATATCAGCCAACATGAAATCTGCATTGCCCCCAAGGCTTTCTCGGAGGCGCTGCTGCGCCGCTTACATTCCGAGCTCATAATTTAGGCGGCTGTTGGATCCTGTGACCATGTTCAACCCAAGCCTTTGAAACAATAAGCTATTAGAAACAAGTGCATCGCTACTAGTAACAAGTGCCTTACTAGTAGTAACAATGTTTGCTATTGGAAACAATATGGCTAGAGCTGCTCAGACTTGAAACAAGTACTGCGGAGTTGCGGTGACAAATTCGTAACTCATGCTCGGGCTGATACACCTTCGTGCCACTCACGGTAATTGTGGAATCGTGTTATACAGCAAGGCATGGACAGTCCTTGAAGACATTCAGCTTAGACATGAATCATTGCCATGGCAAATGGTCGATGGGCAGCTGTGCAGGGAGCTCAGCCATCAGACTACTTGACTACTTCATCATCAAATCCAATAAATAAGTTGGTTTTGAATTGTTTGAACACTTCTCTCCACGATCCATCATTCATGAACCCGCCTGCCCCCGCCATCGCTTGGATTCTGTTTTTGGTGCCTCGCATGCGGGTGCCAAGGTGTGGATGTGAAGCATTCAAGAACTCCAGCGTGACTTGGCGACTTGTTGCTATGATTTGTCAGGAGCAAGGACGCTACTAGGGGCTCCTGGCCTTACTACTAGGAACAAGGACGCTACTAGGAGCAAAGGGCATCGCTACTCGGAGCAAATCAGCTTTGATTTGTCATCAAATGTTCCAGGGACATGCCCTCAGTCCTTTGACAGATGCCTTGCAGCGTCCCAGCCTTGGCTCACACTTGGGACTGGACTAGTAGCGTCCGATCACTCTGTTCGTAGCGATGCCCTTAGCCCCTAGTAGCGTTCTTGCTCCTAGCCTAGTAGTAAGGCCAGGAGCCCCTAGTAATTAGAGTCCTTGCTCCTAGTCCTCAAGATGTCAGATGTGTTTGCGATATGTTGCGATTAAGTGAAACGTCTGGGCGCTTGCCTCGTCGCTCATCCTTGGGAGGCCTTGCGGACGTAGGGCGATGTTGGGATCTAGCGCGGAAGATCCCGCGCAATCCTCGGATTCGGTCTAGTACAGTGTAGCAGGCTGGATCGTCATTATCAACCTCGAAAAGGAAGCAAGTCATCATCAATCAGTCCAGGAATGTTTTTCCATATCGTTGGGTATTTCAAGCATGTCATGGTGTCCTTGCATTGCGGGCAGAGGCGCTTTGTGTGCTGCTTTGTAGGTGTCAAGAACCCACAGCAACAATCAAGTTCGACAATCCAAACCAAGACCCTCAAGTGTTGCGCTAGATTGCTGATTTAGAAACTAGTAGTATGCATTTCTATCGGAACGTGTGCACAGAGTGGGCCTCAAGCTTTGCTTCTCACGTGCTGTTCACCTTGAGGCCGGAGCTCTATGCTGCAGCCCATGTGGTCTTTCAGGCAGGGTGCCAGCAAAAATCACTATCACATCACAACATATCACAACTTGTACACAAGCTGTGCGGAGCAAAATCAGGTGCTCACCCCGCTTCCTGCCAGCAGTTTCAACTTGTCTTCCACTTCTACTTTAGTCTCGTTCATGTTTAACCCTCGGCCGTTAGCAATCAAACTCGGTTGTCTTGATACTCATGACTCATCACATCTCATCACTGGTTACACCACCTCAGCCAGCCACTGAGTTCTTCCTTCCCTCTTTCCCTCCTTCCCTTCGAAGAAATCCCTCAATTCCTTTGGCTTGTCCCCTCTGTTCCTCCTTCCCTCACTCAACTCATTCACTCATTCACATTCACTCATGCACTCAATCACTCATGCAGCACATGCATTCATTCATTGGTTCATGCATATCTCGCTCACCTTCACTTCTGTCCGTGAGCGTGCTTTTTGTGCGAAGTGAGGCCGCTGGGTGTTCAGGAATAAGGGCACTTGAGAAACGCCCTTCTATGCCCGTGCTAGCTTTCGTTCACCTGACTATGCGTAGCCGTGGAATATACTTGATTCAGATAGTCAAGAGCTTGCAGCATGTGGCGTCACTTGCTCCTGCGAGGCCTTTCAAGCTGAAGCATCGCAGGGCAAGGACCAGAAGGGCTAAAGAATTGTTGTTGCATGTTTGTGCCTTGTCAGCCTTGAGTCCTTTGTTTCAGCACAATATGTTTTCCTAGCTTATGCAGGTCAGACAGACTATGAAATGGTTTGGGAGTGGAAAGTAGTCCTTACAAGGATCCAAACATCGCCGCCACCAGATGTGCTCCTGGAGCATTCACTGCAATGCTAGTCATCGCCCCAAGACACGCAATAGACGTGGAACCGCGATGAACCCCATGTGCGAAGATGGTTCCGACTAGTTATGGCATGTTATGGCTGCGTTGGAAAACAAACGACAATGGTGGACAATGACAATGCACGCCACTGGTTTTTTGCAAGATCGCTAAATGACTAAATGACTCAAGTCCAAGTAGAATACCGAACGAGATGTCAGGGAGAATCTAGACTTCTCGCGCAATATCTACCCTTCTCCTTGTGGCGAGGTTCTACTGCTTTTGCACGAAGCTCAGTAAGGTGTTGTTGGGACAAGGTACAGATCGGATTGAATTTTGAGCATGTCCAAGGATTTGATCAAACATGTTTGGTCAAACATGTTCAAATTGCTCGTCAATCCTTGGTATACGAAGAATTCTTTGCTCAGGGAGGCTCTCAGGATGCTATTTTCTCATATATAGTATGTTCTCAGTTTTGCAAGGATGGCCCGAATGAGGTGGGAAGCTCATGATGCCCCAGATGAGCTTGTTGACACAGCTCCTCAGCGGAGAGAGTCGTCGAGTTTTTGCTGTGAGGAGGCCCCTCCAACATGTGTCCAGAGTTAGGCTCCTGGAAACTCTCTCAGAGAGCAAAACACAGGCCTCAAGTGAGGTGGGGAAGTTTCACTGGGTGAGGATGCGCATAATGCTGTTGATTTCCGCTGTGCCAGACCAGAGGCATGTTCTTGTTGGTGGCTTATGCTTGCTTGAAGGAAAGCATCGATGGCAAACACACGGGCTGTGGGGAATTCACTTTTGTTCGCCAGAACATAATATGTTTATCATGCCCACAAAATGTTTGCTAGCATAATGCATTTGTCGGAAGAAAGGGGGTTTGCTTTTGAGATCCTCACATTTTTGTGTGCACTCCGTGAGCCTCTAGGAAACAGGTGCGCAGTCACAAGGGAATGCTGTGTGTGCATATGAAGGTCATTGTAGCCTAGAGTCTAGAGGAAAGAAGCATAAAGCCCAGGCTTGGGTTCATTAGTCAATATGTCAAACAAATGCGTGTCAAGAAGAGAAAATCGGCCGATAGCATGACGGTACTCTAGGATTCTTCATAGTTTGAGGATGCTGTCCACGTTTTTGATGGCAAGCCTACTCAAGATTGATCAATTTGCCTGGCAAATTGATTATAAATGGGTTGGGAGTGGTGGTGCCAATGTCGTTGGCACTGGCTGCATCCAACATTCTACGGCATTGCAATGCCGCATGGTGCGAATTTGCCAAGAACCTTCAGGAGAGAAGGGCTTGTTGTGAGCTGTACAAGTTAGGAGATTTGGTGCAAGATTGTGTTTTGGATCAATAAAGTATGTAATATGTGCAAGATATGCAAGGTTGGTGAAATCTAGATGGATCAATCTGGATTAATCTTGGTGTTCAGAATAGCAGCAGGACCTTTTACACACCACCACACCAGGTACGATAGGCAGTTTTTGTGTTAAATGTTGGTCTTTGTATTGCTTAGTTTGTTTTAATCTCCTTGCCTGAGCTTCACAGCATTCATATCGTGAAGTCACGCCTGAAACTGAAACCAAGCCTCTGTGTTCAGGAGCTGTGTCAATCGGGCTGCAGAGGCCGTAGAGCATGCAAGAAGCGTACTCCAAGGAGCAGGGTGACATGCAGCTTGGGTATTTTTGGTGCCACAGTTTGAAGCATTTTTGGTGCAGCGCAGGCTGCCTCCCTTCCGATGGCCTGGGGTACCACCAACCAGCAGCCGCCTTTCGAAAAGCTCCAGAGGACTGCATCAGCCTGTGCGCCGTCGTTTGTGATGCTCCATATGCAGCCCATGGAGCTGGTGGAAATCCAACGGAGTGTGCTAGCAACTATTGTTAGTTCGGGCGTTTGAGTAAAGGGAAGCTGTGGAGCAATGCGTTGGTGTTCACGGCCATTGAGGATCGTTTAGCAGACAGTTGGCTAGTGGTGGCGTTTCGTGGGACTCTGCTCGCGGAATTGGGGCGTGATGTTGTTTACAAATATTTGAAGATTTTCTTGACAGGGCTGCAGTTCTCTTCACCGAGCACCTTGGTCGAAGATCTTCAAAGATGCTCCTGTTCACTGCAGTCACTGGCCATTCGCTTGGCGGCAACGTTGCAGAATGTGTGTCCTTCCGCTTGACAATGCCTGAGGGCTTCTCAGCCATCCTCTTTAATCCAAGAGGTAAGTTGTCCGGCCTGAGAGACACTGCGCAAAATGTCAAGGACCTGGCTCTCTCCTGGCTTGGTCGCTTCCGGCTTGGCTCTTGGTATCTCTTGGTATTAGTGGTGCAGGTTCTCCTGGCCTTGGCGGATGACTCCTTGTGCTGGAGCTCTTGCAGACGGTATTGTGAGTCAAGCATAGCGGGCAGGGAATGACAGGATTGACGGGCACAATATGAAGATCCTCAAGGTTGAACGTGACTTTATCTCCAAGGATTATCATGGTCGGAGACTAACAACGACGCAGCCAAAACTTCCGCACACTTCAAGTTCAAGTCCTCATTCCGTTGCAAATTTCTTGCCGCAAGCCGACGGTCCAGAACAATGGCTTGATGACTTTGTGTTGTGTAGCAGCCGAAAGCCTTTCTCATCCATTGATGAAAACCCTATATCAGTCAAGCCGGCGCTGTACCACGGCTTTATGATATTACGCACAGCCTGTGAATGTAATCAGAATCAGGGCTAACCACCTTGGGTACCATTGGGTACGTGTTGAGGCAACTGACGCGTTTTCAACCACGGTGACCCGATCATAGATAAATTAAAAGATATTAAAAGCACATGGGAGCACAATCACACCACCAGAGTGAGATGATGAATTCGCACGCCCTTCACATTATGGTGGTGCACAAATGCTTGTTGCGCCAACCGCAAGATGCTTTGCGCTTCGCGAAGCCGGCGGCTTGAAAGGCACTGCAGAGAGATGTACGCAGTGCCTTTGGACCTGCGCAGAAGCTGAGCAGTATACAACCGCTGCTCTTCGTAAATACTTGTCCTTGGAGAGATGGGACTCCGCGGCCCTCATCTGAATCAGAGGTATGGCACATGCGATCTGAACAGAATCCGATCTGGCCGAGGATGCAAATGCTCATGGCAGTGGCCATACGCTCTTACTTAAGCCAAGCTTCTGCTCGTCGCGGCGCTGCGCCATGAAGGCACAGCAGTGGGCAACCCCTTGCAGTTGCTCTTGAGGTTTTGCACCAAAAACGAATCTATATACATCGCTTCAGGATTGCTGGGACATCAAGTCTCGCCTCTTTTTCTTCTCCGAACTTCTTCGAAGGAATAGAGAGATCGCCCAAAGATGTCAAGAAGGCTTTGCGGTTATTGTTGCCAGATTGTTGCTTTCTTGGCGGATTTTAAAGGAGGGAGCAAAGTCTTCGATTTCTGGGCTCATTTGATCTGCCGGCTTGCCGTTGCGATTCCTGCCGCCTTTTCAATCTGCGGGGGCAGAAATATCGACTGTGCACTCCAAAAGCTGTCTTCACACACCAAACACGAGGTCAATGCTGCAGTGAAGGATCCAATTCTTTTAACTGGTAAGGCATGTGCGCGCCAGTCGTTGCGACATGGTACTTGGCCAACTTTATTGCCAGGTTGCAAGCATGTGGAGGACAACAATTCTACTTTGCAGATGTTCTGAATCCGAGCGAAAATGAACTGCGTGCAAAGCTCTCAGCGAAGTTGCCTTAGTTAGACGTTCCGCCTGTGCACTGAGAGCAGCGAGTTATACAAGGGTCGTCTGACAATCGTTATTGTCCACAAATTCCTTCGAGTATTGCGAATGCCAATGATGGCGGTACGCAATGCCAGAACTGCTGCAGGCCGACTGAACCACAACACTATGCGGGCCAAATTCTTTTGAATATAAGATACATAATAGAAGTCTGTTCCTTTCTCGCCCTGCCTTGAACGTCCGTTTTTGCCAACAACCATCAAACGATGTTGCTTCGGCATTTTTTAGGCGAGCCAACACACAGACCATCAGGGACTCTATGGGACACTCGACTCTGCCGACTCCGCCCCAAGGCTCTTGATATTATCCTCCCAATTGAGCAGACCATTGTGGCTCCTGCTATGACAGCGCTGGGCACAGCCGGAGTCCTGGACCTCGGGTCAGCCATTCGCATCATATGGGTCGTTTCCAGAAAAATCAGAAAACTTGCAAAGCAAGCAAAAAGAGGGATGATTGTTTCCGCACGTTTGGGTTGGTCCAGATGAGATACTTTGAGATGTTCGGAAAATGTTTGGAATGGCATGTGCTGCTCAAACTTCCAACTAGGCTTTCAGTTTTGATTAATGTTGGTTCTATGTAGTGAATAACATGCAAATATTCCAAATCATACACTGAAGTTCAGATGGGTCAATCTCTTACACTCGCGCTATTCATGTGCTGACTGGGGTGCTTGCATTTTGAAGGCGCATGGGAACTGAACTGATGATTAGAATCAGTCATCACAACGCACTGTCGATCTGATGTTGCAGGACTGCAATAGATTTGGCAACATCCAAGACGGGTGGTGGCCAGGAGTTGCGCAGCCTCGCTTAGGGTTGAAAGCTTTTTCAGGGTGCAGATCGAGGCATGGGTTCAGGCATTTGTTGAAAATTATTGGTGAGAACCATGTGGACAATTTTGCCGCGTTTGTAAAGTGAACAGACACCGAGCACGCGCCGCATGCACCGGCATACACATACACCCTTGGGCCCTTCGACATACTCTGGCCCTTTCTGAAGTATGAGAAGCATGCATGTCAATGGATGTGAGCCACGGTCAAAACATGCGAAGACCACTTTAGTAAAGAGGGTAGGTTTGTGCACAAAACCCTGCAAAACGACAAGGTCCAACTCAAAACCGATGACGTCCATTTTTTAGTTGAAGAAGAATAAGGAGTTTTGACCGTCCCTCATGTGCACGTGCATTGGGTGTATTTGGAAGCCCCCCAGTCATCCTCGTCTCTCCTTGGCATGTGCTTTTCATCGCTCTTATGTTGGAGACCATTGCTAGTAGTTTTTCATCTCCGCGTTCGTGGCAGGTTTTGGACCTCCGGTGGCTCCGGCGCCTGACGAGTCGCTTGTCACGGCACCTCGTCTCCGAAGCGCGGACGACACGGTGCGATGCCCTGCGCATGCCCTCTGGATGCCCTCCAGTGGTGTTTCAGGTTTCATTGTTTCATTGGTTTCGGAATCTGGTGGGGCATCGTGGGGCTCATCTTTCGAGGCATTACTACTAAGTTACTACTAGTAGCAAGAAGCTAGCAGTAACAAGGGCTCATTACGGCTCATTCGTTCCTTTTTAAATGTGTGGTACAGTACATTGAATTGGAAGCTCGTTGGGAGCGAAGACTGACGGTGCAACTGGTAGTCATACGTGGGTGGTCACAGGAAGCGAGCAGCCTGGCAGCTTTTGGCTGGGAGCTCAGCGGGTTTCGAGGGTCCACGCTGAATCGAGCACTTTTCATGCACCGGATACTGCTTTGATGTGCATTGAAAGAACCCAGCTGGTCAAGGCTGAAACTGGCCAAGAGCCCTGGCATGAAAGAGAGGCCTATGTGTTAGATGTTGCACGTCGAGGGCCATACACATATCATATAACATTATATTAGTCATTGTAGAATATTGTACTTACAGTATATACAATGAAATATAACTATCTTCAAGCATTCAGTATATCATCTGTGCGTTGCGTAACTGTCCAATTCAAATATATATATATATAGAGGGATGGAAAGCCAGCCGCCAGCTCCGCTGGCAAGTTCATCACAAATCTCAAGTTATGAAGGGCGCTCTACAAATTGTTTTTTGGGGGCTTGCACGGCAGGTGGCAGAGCAAAGATTCTTTGCCGAGGCACAAACCACGGGTTGTCGCGGTCTGGAGAGACTGTGAGGACTGTAGAGAGGTGACAGTATTTATATAGGTGCTTGCTACGGACATGCAGAGCAATCCAAACGCGGTTGAGAGATTTGATGCGTTTGTGAAATTTGTTCGTCGCCCAGCTGTGCATCCTGTGAGGCTGAGTTCAACTTGGACAGGCAAGACAACTGCTGGCTAGTGCATTTGATTGGAGCCCTTCCGCCCAGTCATTGGTGCTTGAAACTGTTGGTGGGCATGTAGGCTTTGCTGGTTTTGCCGCGGATCAAATTTGGAGACACGTTGAAGCCATGCATTTTACTGATGCCAGGCCGAGCCTTTGTCTGTGTATTTTACATGGGGAGGGTGCAGCAACACTTCGTGAGACTTTGGAGCAACTTGGCAACAAGATGCTACAATTTAGGTGTACTTAGTGTACTTTTCCTGGAAGCTTGCTTACATGAACACTTTCCTCTCTAGCTTAACTTGGCGTGCTGTTCGAACGATTCTTGTAAGATCTTGTAAGTGTTTGGTGACTTGGGTTTATCTTGTCTCTCATGTCATGTCAAATACCTTCTGGATTTACTGGTTGTGTGCAAGCTGGTGGCTTGCCGTGTGTTTCTTGCTTTTCTCCACCCACCCTCCGCTGTGGCTTTGTGGGGTTTGGGTATCCTTGGCTTTTGCGGGGCTACCTGGGGTTCCTTTGCCTGTGAACCTCCCTGGATATTGCTTTGCCATCCAGGTTTTGCCCAGGCAATTGCAATGGGAGGATAAAGCTTGTGGAGCCCATGTGCTTTTTGCCGTTGGAGCTGGAAAGGTGGGGTTGCTGAATGTTGCTGCTGCCCAGCAACTGTATTGATCAAACCCATTGGAAAAGGTGCATCTATGCTGCTTGCTGGACTTTCTAGTTGAGTTTGTAGAGTTTACACTGTACAGACATTTACAAACGTCGGCGAAAGACCAAGAGAGGCAAACAAAAATGCCACGTGCATGCATTTGGCAACACTTGGATGGGGGGTGTTCCATGGCCTCAGGTCTTACAAGGACGGCGGGCTGCACGGTCCTTGAAAAGCCTTGAAACGACATCGTAAAGTCTGTTGTAGCCCGCTCCTACAGATTAGGTAGGTGCCTACTTAATTGAGTAAGGGAGTAAGCACGCACTAGCAATACTTAAGCTTCTAGTAACTGGACACAGGATAGCTCACACTTCTAGGAAGCTGAGCTTCGTTGAAGAAGCGCTCGCACTAATGCTTTGGTTTCTTGATTTTTAGGTAAACTGTAAGGATGTTGAGACATGTAAGGCTGGAAATGGCGCGACGACGATTCGTCGTCTTCTTGAAATCACTCCAAGAGGACGTCTTGGACCAGGTGTGACCCCCTTTCTATCCTCTACATGCCCAAGTCAATAACCGACTTCACAGGAATGTTGGTTCATGCTCGAGGTGGACAAATCTTGCCTTCAAGTTTATCCAAGCTGTTGGTGTCAGCTTCTGTGTGTGGATGGATTGGTATACGGCCGATCAAGATGTATTGATTGACTCTTGAATTCTTGCAGCTACTAGATCTGTGATGAGCCAAAACATTGAATTCGTCTGGAAAACCGCTGCGACAGGCAGTGCATTGTTGGCGTCAAGAGGCGAAAGTCTCAGAGATGGCTGCTTGTATCTTGATGTATCTTGTGGCCAGTGGTGTGAATTAAGGCTGTGGCAGTGCAAGGGTGCAGTGTCTCAAAGCTGTTGTTGCAAAGACCTTTCCAAGAAACAGCGAAGGTCATTACGTACTTTAGTGAACGTAGGCGTGCTACCAGCCGCCAAGTCATCATGCGAACTGTGTCCACGCGCGTTGTGTCCACCTGTCTTTCGAGAAGGATGCTGTAGGAATTTGCATGATGTGCTTTTGCCGCTGACATGGACGCCTTGGTTGTGAGGTGGCGAAACTGTATGATTTGGAGCCTATTGTGCCAGTAAAAGATTGGCCAGACCCTTTCATCAGGCCTTTGCCACTGATTGTCTTGGGTTCCTGGGCTGTGTTGAGATATTGTGCACGGAAAGCAGTCACCGAGACTTGTGCCAGGAAACACCAGAGACACGGAAATCCAGGCTGCGGACTGTGGAGAGGGGGGAAATGCTCACGATTGTGGCAACACTGCAGACCATTGCAGTGAGTTTAGAGTGGAAGTGTTCCAGAGCTAGTAGGTTGGAGGCCATCGCTAGTTTAGACCAGAAGTATCGTTGTTCACATCATCAGATGTTCCAGAGCTTCCCAAGGCAGAAATCAGTGGGTCCCAAGTCTCAAGAAGAAAGCGCTCACAATTCTTTGTTTAGGAGGGAACTTATGCCCTATGCTTTGAGCCATGGGTGTAGGAGGAAACTTACGTTCTGGTCGGAGACTGTCAGCATAAATGTGCAAATTGGTGGTGAAGTCTGCAAGTGTAATGGTTCACTGCGGCCAGGTGCTGCCATGGCAGCTTGTGCCAGCACTTGTGATCAGGAGAGGAGAGAAACCATGAGAAATTAGGTTCGTCCCAAAGTGATGTTTACCTTGCTTTTTGCGTGCTGAAAGGCTTGCGCACCTCAATTCATGTTGTTGCTGTGGGAATTATGCATGTCCAGGAGTATTTGCTTTTTTTGGAGGATGACTTCCAGCTTGTGACGAGGCCGCAGCAACAAGTTCCAGAACCTAGGCCTTCCCACAACTCAACAATGCCCCATCAGCGAATGCATGATTGAGCAGGCATGCGGCATTTGTGCACGGCAAACAACGCGACGACAAGGGCCATGCTTGGAAAGTATTGAATGGCCACAGAAGACCAAGCTGGTCTGCAAAGGAACCTTCTAAAACCAACCAAACTATCAATGTGTTTCTCCCGCAGTTTGTGCTCAGATATATATTTGTCACCTGTAAGACTAGCAAACCTAGCAATGACGATACAACCAGCAGCGTTGTCCCTGTGGGAGCGACGGTCATTTAGACTCGAGCAAAAGGCCAAGCTGAGAGTTTCAACAGAAGTTGATGTACTCCAAGGTGGCCTGGTGAGTTATCCTTTGGACACATTTTTTGAGCTTTAGTGTGTTGCTGTGAATCTATATGTAGTATGAGTGATTTGTCCTTCTTTAATCAGAGTGTGAGCCTGTTCAGGTCCTTTGTCAGGCGACAGGGTCAAAGAGGCCTATGACTTCGAACAGATCCTTGGGAAAGGATCTGTTGGAGTCGTCTACAAGGCCAGAAGGCGAGTGGATGACCGCAAGGTAGTTGTGAAGGTTCGGAACGTCATCGACAAGGAAACAGCCGAGTCGTGTCGTCAAGAGTTCCAAGTCCTGAAGCGACTTTCGCATCCTCACATCATCAAAGTGGTTGACTTCCTGGAGGCGGTCGGTGAGGTAGCACTCATCTTTGACTACTGCTGTGAAGGCACGCTGCAAAGCGTCGTGAAGAAAGCACACCCGGAAGGCTTGCCATCAATCGCCATGAAGCCCTTGAGTCGAATGCTGTGCGAAGCAGTCGACTACCTGCACAGCTGTCGCATCATACATCGGGATATAAAGCCTGAAAACATTTTGCTATCAGACACTTTGACAGGCCCGGCTCGGCCTGTACAAACCATCACATTACATGTTCTTGTTGCTGTAAAATCTGTACGTTTTTTTCCTAAATATATATATATCTAAATATCTAGGAACCAAATCATTAGTGCGAGTGCTTCTTCAAGGAAGCTTCGAAGAAGCGTGAGCTATCCTTCGTCCATATGTAGTAGCAAACCCTGTACCTAGAAGCGTCCACTTGTTAGCTACCTTAGCTACCTCGCTACCTCACCTCCTCACCTCTACCTAGCGGTACTAGCGGCCTACCCCCAAAAATAGAACAATAAGAAAAATATAATATATGTGTTTCCTCGGTACATGTTGTTCGTTCCAAGACAATGCTCCAGGCTTGTGGCTGGCAGACTTCAACACTGCTTGTCAATTGACGGATGGATGGGCCTTGACAATGACTGGTACCATGGATTACTCGGCACCCGAAGTTCTTGAAGACTCGTCACCTTCAGAGACCCTTGGACTGAACCACCTCCGAACGTTTTCTATTGCTTCGAAGAACAAAAAATTAGAGAAAAGAGGTGCAGTCCTTCGTCCAGGGGCCGACAGACCTTTTTCCCTAATTTAAGAAAGGGATTCTGAAAGATTCTTCCTCCAGAAAACTACCACAAGATGTTGTTGGACTGGTGACCGGTGCGCTGAATGTGACTGGACAACTTGCCAAGTTCCCAGAGACTGAATCATTGAGAAGCCACTCAATGCTGAATCACCTGGTTTCCGAAGCTAGTCATGCTAGTACAAATGACCAGTGACCAGTCAGAATTTCTTTTCACAATCGTTCGTGTACTGCTGTTGGAATAGAGTCGAGATGCTGCACATCAGAGCTGACGTGGGTTTGTTTGTGCTTTGTTGTTTGCTGACATGCAGAGTCGCAGGGGCAGATACGAAGTGTTCTAGCGATTTATAATTGGAAAGGCGTGTTGTGTTGCTTTCTGGACTTGCACAGGTATGCTTTTCAGCTTGGCAGGACACGCTAATAATGTATGAATCCCATGAGCCATGAGTCCTCCCAATTTTGTGATTTGGTGTCTTTATACGACTATGGTCGCTATGGTGTTTCTCCATGTTTCTTCAGGAAGTCCGACATTTGGAGCCTCGGCCTTTGCCTGTACTTCATGGCCTCAGGAAGATTGCCTCGCAGATTTGGAGACTACGAAGACCTCAAAGGCTTTGCCAAAGCTGTGAGGTCAAATCCGGTGACGTGCCATGGCCCATCCTGGGACACTGTGGACGACCAAGCCCAGGATATGATCCGACAATGCTTGGCAATTGAGAAATCTCTCCGACCAGCAGCCATGCTCCTCCTGAAATCCTCATGGTTTCGAGATGTTACGAGCCCTTCGTGTCTTGGCAACAGGGGAGAAAGCGAAGTTGAAAGGAAGGTGAGTTAGTGGGAAGTGCCGCCATAGACTCAAACTCAAGACAACGCAGTAAACCTGGTAGCCAGCTGCTCCAGTGTAGCCAAGCGACTTACAGTAAGTTTGTCAATGGAAGACGCACAGTCGCGCGTTATCACGTCAAGCCTGCAGGAAAGTGCCGGAGTATCCGTTGCATGTGATATATACATATACATACATATACGTACAATGGTGCAATGTGTTCGTGTATGTTGATGTGTTTTTTAATGTTCTCATTATGAATAGGTACATTCGTGATGCGTTTATCAGTTACGACGTGTCCAGACCTTGCAGGAGTGGAGGGTATGATGATCCTGGCGAATCTTTGGTTTGTCGTGTCCTTTCAATTTGAGCAGATCCATCCCAAGAGGAAGGAATGAAAGTGATTCTGGAGAATCGCTAAGAGGATCTGAAGGGGTGCCCAGCTTGAGGAGCCATAGCCCGATTTATGGATAGCAGTGTTGGTTGTCATTTGGCACAAGATGTCATCAAATCGATTCTTTAGAATCTTCAGACTGCTCACGACACTCGCAAGTGCACTCCTGTAGTCCTTCACAAAGCTATACTCACAGAACCTCAAAATGAAATCTTCCTGAGCGCAAAAGCCAAAGAGCCGTCATTCTTTTACGTATGAAAGTGAACAGTGGTTCCTCAGGCGAGGGGTCGCAAAGTAGTGCATAGTTCTCTTGAACACGCAGCTTGGAGAAGTCCGCGTGTGCAGTACGTTACTACTAGTACAATCATTCTCTCTTTGCGCTCGCACCTCTCAAAGTTGAACTTTGGAGGGAGCGTTTCTTTTGATGGGGCATTGCTTCGCGCGATGCTGTCATAAACCATCCCAATTGCTCACTTGGAACAGTTTCTCAGCTGTGCGCTGGCCTCTGTTTTTCCCTCAAGTGTGCATTCCGGGTTCTTCATGCATTGCTTCCTGTGGCAGCAAATTTGTGGTCTAAATCCACCAGGCAAACCTGGAACCTGTGGCGGCGCCCTGCTTAGGGGATTCTCTTTCAAAAGCTACAATTAAAGCTATATAAATCAAGGCACTTGTGTTTCGCGTATTTGAGCCGTCCTGCCATCGGCTTTGACCCATGCCTTTCAATTCTCATAGAGCTTGGCCGTCAGAGCGCTGGAGACACCAGGAATCAAGCTGTTGCGCTGGAGTCACGTCCAAGAGTCATGTGTGTTAATGTCGAAGCAATCAACGAAGTTTCACATCGAAGTCCCCATGCGATGTCAGTGGCTCCTGGAGATCCCCTCTGGTTGCGGCAGAGCATCGAAGTGGGATTTGACTGTCCAAATCCTACTATATAAGTGTGGGTCAAAACCCACCATGAACAAACGAAGATCAACAGAATGGGCAAGAATAGTCTAATACCTACCATGGTCTTGAGTAAAAGCAATTTTGACCCACACCCGCACCCACACACCCGATGGGTGTAAGCAGTTCATTCGGGGACTGCATCTTTTGCGGCTTGCTGATGCGGCTTGTGCACAGCTGAAGTGGTTCCTCGCCCTGTGCTGCGGAAACCCTTTTTTCTAGCCTGTTCTCTGCTTTGAATCAAAGCACCAACTCGTAGACGCGGACGAGAATCTGAAAAATGATGAACAATGCATTGCTGATCACTTGAATAGCTGACGCACCTCTAAATTAAATTAGAGAACGATATGTCGTCTACTTGCCTGTCCCTATGTGGCATAAGCTGTACCTGTTCGCATGAACACTACCTCCAGGTAGTTTGGTGTCCAAGTGCCAACACTGGCGATATGCTAAGAGCTTGCCGCCAGGCCAGCAGAACTGGTCCAACACCGCTTCAAGGCTTTGTCTAGCACCTTGTGTGTTTCAGTAAGTGTTTGGCCTGTCAGTACAGGTCCAAGTTGTATGCTGGCCAAGCATGTTTAATGTGTTTGGGATCAATGACATAGGTTGAGGTTGAGCAGCATGATGTTTTGATATGCGTTCATGCGGCTCCAGCGAATGATGCTTGTGCATTGTAAGAAAGAAAGGCTCCAGGTGAAGCACCTATAAGCCTGTTTGTTTGGCAACCACCTTTTTCCGCCTTTCTTCACCTGAATTTCAATAGTTGTCCAATGGAGTCTTCCTTTACTACGTGTCACTGTACTGGTGAATGAGGCGACATATGCAGCTCAGCTGAATAAGCACGTTGTGTCAATCCCAAGCATTTGCCACTGTTGGTTCTAGAACCGAGTCTGGAAAGCTTGGAATTGTGTGCGGAAGCAGCATTGAAAAACACCCAAGTGCTGGCTTCTTTCGAAAAGTGAAGCCGGGTGATGTCCAATATCACAAATCCAGGCAGGCTCCAGCCTCTTCTGCACTTGTCCTGGCAAGACTTGGCTGAAGCTGCAGGCTGCATTCCACATGCTGAATGAGACTGCAAATGAGGCAACTCGAACCGGAGCACCGTGTTAGGTCAAGGGTATCCAACAGTATGGAGCAGGCAAGGAGAAGGTTTTGAGGCCCTTTGCATAATTCATTTGAATTCATTTGATTCGTGCAAAGAGGGAAACGTAGCACTTGAAGTGCTTTGGCCAAACCAGCTGCATTCTGTTTCCAATGGTTAAGTGTTGCCAAAAGGATCCAAAAGGGCTGAACATCCAAGTCTGTTGTGCCCGCTCAATGCAAGGCGATGAAGATCTTTGGCGTGCGCAAACCTCAGAGCGGGGACAGCACCGCAGCAAACTTTTGGAAAGAAGTGTACGGGAACCTAAGGTGTGAGGCCACTACTGACTAGTTTTACCAGTTGTTTCACAATATATATATAGTATGATCGAGTCAACAAAGGAGGCTCATAGACTTAGCCGAACAGCCATCCAGCAGTTTTTGTGGAACTCAGCTGTATGGGCGCGTGGGGACTGTGACTTTTTCAAGACATGGTCTTGCTCAGATTCAAGCCACAAGTAAAGAACAAGCACCGAAATATGCTTCGGAACTAAAGTTTGTTAAAGATCAATCGGTGTGACATACTCCGTATTTTGTGGGTTTTGCTTGGATCACTGAGCTGTGCACCTGCACCAGCTGCTTTGTCGGGATAGTCGCCATGTAGCAGTCGCTTTTCAATCTTTTGGATATGCCTGCCACGAACCACATCAAGGAAGATTGGCACCCTAGTGTGCCCTTCAGAATCGAGGCATTTGAGACACAAACTATTCTTCGGGCCACCCTTCTATGTGTGGAGCCGAGAAACGGGGGAATGAGAGGGAGGTTTCCTTGTGAAGGAACATTACTTTTGGAGCAAGTCAAAGCAAGTCAAAGCAAGTCAAGACCTCGGCAAGGAGCAAGGGAAAGGAAGAAAAAGCAAGGCATACATAAGCGTCTATGAGTTGCATGTGGAAGCCTGATCAGTGCTTGTATGGTAGATGCTTGGACAAAAGTCACAAAAACAAAGTTTCATATGAGGTTGCCTCAGAGCCTGTGTATTTATTTGATTCCATATACAAGATAAAAATATGTAATTTAAGTTAAATTACTGTCATGATGCTTGTACCATGCAGAGGGAAACCCATGCCGACTGCTTCGCCGGAGAATAGATGTTTGCAGTTCACATTGTTGTTTTGATGTCGTCCAACCTAATAGCGATGGCCTCCAACCTAATAGCGATGGCCTCCAACCTAATGGCGATGGCCTCCAACAGAATAGGAATGTCCTCCAACCTAATAGTGATAATAGCATCCAACCTAATAGGAATGTCCTCCAACCTAATATGCGATGTCCTCCAACCTACTAGGAATGTCCTCCAACCCAATAGCGATGGCCTCTAACCTAATAGGACTGTCCTCCAACCCAATAACGATGGCCTCCAACCTAATAGCGATGGCTTCCAACCTAGTAGCGATGGCCTCCAACCTAATAGGAATGTCATCCAACCTAATGGCGATGGCCTCCAACCTAATAGCGATGGCATCCAACCTAATAGCGATGGCCCAACCTAATAGGAATGTCCTCCAACCTAATAGCGATGGCCTCCAACCTAATAGCGATGGCCTCAACCTAACAGGAATGTCCTCCAACCTAATAGGAATGGCCTCCAACCTAATAGCGATGGCCTCCAACCTAATAGGAATGTCCTCCAACCTAATAGTGATGGCCTTCAACCTAATAGCAATGGCTTCCAACCCAATAGCGATG